TCTGGATTGTTTACAGTTTTAGTTATCATGAATCAGCTTCTGTAAACATTTGTGTGCAGGCTTTTGTGTAAACTGAATCTCCATTTCTTTCATATCTTTTCTTCTTTTTAGAGATCTATTTTGCTGTTCTTCAGATTGGGTCTTCTTTTTTTTATTAATCAATATTTTTTATTATGGTTTTGTGGGGTACAGTTAAGGGTTAGGTGTACAATTACATTTCATTCAGGCACCCTGTTGATAAGAGTTGTTTCCCCATCCCCAGACAGATATTTGCTACTGTCATTCCCATCTGCCTCCCCGCCCCATAGTTTCCCAGTACCATCAGTCATTTTCTTATAGTATTACATTGGATGTTCAAGGTCCATTATATGAGTGAGAACATGTGATACTTGGATCTTTGTTTCTGTGAGAGGTCACTCAGTATTATAGACTCTAGTTCCATCCAGGTTGCTGCGAAATTCACGATTTTGTTCTTTTTTATGGCTGTGTAGTATTCCATCGTGTATATGTACCACATTTTAAAAATCCAGTCCTCTTTTGATGGGCAACATGGTTGTTTCCAGGTTCTTGCTATTGTGAACAACGCTGCGATAAACATACGTGTGCAGGTATCTTTTTTATAGAGTGATTTGAGGTCTTCAGGGTATATTCCCAGTAGGGGGATTGTGGGGTCATATGGAAGGTCGATTTTTAGAGCTTTTAGGAATCGCCACACTGCTTTCCACAGAGGTTGCACTAGTTTACACTCCCACCAACAGTGTAGAAGTGTTCCCTTTTTCACCACACCCTCTCCAGCAGCTGTTATTTTTTGACTTGTTGATAATTGCCATTCTGACTGGAGTTAGGTGGTATCTCAGTGTGGTTTTGATTTGCATCTCCCTGATGATTAGTGAGGTTGAGCATTTCTTCATGTGTTTGTTGACTGCGCGGATGTCTTCTTTTGTGAAGTGTCTGTTCATATCTTTTGCCCATTTTATAATGGGGTTGTTTGTTTTTTTCTTTTCAGCACGTTTGAGTTCCTTGTCGATCCAAGATGTTAATCCTTTGTCAGACCCAGAGTTGGCAAATACTTTTTCCAAGTCTGTAGGCTGTCTCCCTGCTCTCTTGATTGTTTCTTTGGCTTTGCAGAAGCTTGTCAGTTTAATAAGGTCCCACTTGTCTATCATCTCTCTTATGACCTGTGGGTTTTGGGTTTTGTTCAGGAATTGGATGCCAGTTCCGATTTCCATGAGGGTATTTCCTTCCTTTTCTAAGGTTCTTATGGTTTGAGGTTTTACATTTAGGTCTCTGATCCATTTGGAGTTAACCTTTGTGCATGGGGATAGATAGGGATCCTGTTTCAATCTTCTGCATGTGGTCAGCCAGTTTTCCCAGCACCATTTACTGAATAGCTTCTCCTCTCCCCAGTGGTAGGTGGTGGGGGCTTTGTCAAAGATGAGTTGGTTGAGAAATTGAGGTTTTGCTTCTGGAATCTCAATTCTATTCCATTGATCTATATGCCTGTTCCTGTACCAATACCAAGCTGTTTTGATGATTGTAGCTTTATAGTAAAGTTTGAAGTCTGGTAATGTGATACCACCTGGTTTGTTTTTTTTTTTTTTGCTGAGGATTGTTCTGGCTATTCTTGGATGTTTGTGTTTCCATATGAATTCCTGTGTTGTTTTTTCTAAGTCTGAGAAGACTGTTGTTGGTAATTTAATGGGTATTGCATTGAATTTGTAGATTGCCTTAGGTAAGATGGACATCTTCACAATGTTGATTCTTCCAATCCATGAGCATGGGATATTTTTCTACTTGTTTGTGTCATCTTTGATTTCTTTGAGCAGTGTTTTGTAATTTTCATTGTAAAGGTCTTTCACGTCTCTGGTTAGGAAGATGCCAAGGAATTTCATTTTTTTGTGGCTATTTTGAATGGAATTGCCAATTCCCCTGAAAACTGGAACTAGACAAGGATGCCCACTCTCACCCCTCCTGTTCAACATAGTATTGGAAGTCCTTGCTAGAGCAATCAGAGAAGAGGAGGCAATCAGAGGTATCCAAATAGGAAAAGAGGAAGTCAAGTTATCTCTCTTTGCAGATGATATGATTGTGTACCTTGAAAACCCAAGAGAATCTGTCAAAAGCCTCCTTACATTGATAAAGGCCTTTGGCAAAGTCTCAGGATACAAAATAAATGTACAAAAGACAATCACATTTCTCTACACCAATAATAAACAAACAGAAACCCAAATAGATTGGGTCTTCTTATGACAAAATCTCTTAGTTTTCCTTCATCTGGGAATGTCTTGATTTACCCTTCATAACAGAGGGATATTTTTGCTGGGCATGGGATCTAGGTGGACAGCTTTTTTTCTTTAATTGCATGAAAAATATTGCACCACTTCTTTTTGACTTCCATGGTTTCTTCTGTGAAGTTCACTGTCATTCTAATTTTTTTCCGAAAGCTTAAGGTGCCTGATTTTCTCTGTCTACTTTAAATATTTTTTTCTTTGCTTTTACCTTTCAGAAGATGAATTATGATATGGATTAGTATGGATTAAGAAAGTTTTTTTTTCTTTTGAGAAGTGTCTATTCATATCTTTTGCCCACTTTGTAATGGAGCTGTTTGTTTTTTTTTCTTTTCAGCATGTTTGCGTTCCTTGTAGATCCTTGATATTAGGCCCTTGTCAGACATGGAGTTGGCAAATATTTTTTCCCAGTCTGTGGGCTGTCTTCCTGCTCTCTTGATGGTTTTGCAGAAGCTTGTCAGTTTAATGAGGTCCCACTTGTCCATCTTATCTCTTATGGTATGGGCACTTCAGGGAGCAGCCAACAGATACATGAAAAAATGTTCAACTTCACTAGTCGTCAAGGAGATGCAAATTAAAACTACATTGAGATACCACCTAACTCCAGTCAGAATGGCCATCATCAATAACTCAAAAAATAACAGATGCTGGAGAGGATGTGGTGAAAAGGGAACACTTCTACACTGTTGGTGGGAGTATAAACTAGTACAGCCTTTGTGGAAATCAGTGTGGTGATTCTTAAAAATTCTAAAAATTGACCTTCCATTTGACCCTGCAATTGCCCTACTGAGAATATACCCGGAACTCAAATCACTCTATAAAAAAGATACCTGCACATATATGTTTTTTGCAGCATTGTTCACAATAGCAAGAACATGGAAACAACCATGCTGCCCATCAAAAGAGGACTGGATTAAAAAAAAGTGATACATATACACAATGGAATATTACGCACCCATAAAGAAAAAATCATGAACTTCGCAACAACCTGGATGGGATTAGAGTTTATAATACTGAGTGAACTCTGACAGAAACAAAGAGCTGAGTATCACATGTTCTCACTCATAAATGGACCTTGAAAAATTACTGTAATACTATAAGAAAAAGATTGACTGTAGTGAGAAACTGTGGTGGTGGGGTGGTGGGGAGGTGGGATTGACAGTAGTCGCTATCTCCTGGATAAGGGGGGGTACACCTCATCAACAAGGGTACCTGCACAATGAATATTTGTGTACCTAACCCTGAATTGTACTCCCCAATTTTCAGCCATTATTTCTTTAATCACCTTTTTTTCTTCCCTATCTTCTTTCTCCTCTCTTATAAACTCTAGTGATATAAATGTTATATCTTTTTTTATAGTCTCACAGCTCTCTAAGACTGTTCACTTTTTTTCCCTAATCCATCTCACCTTTATTGGTCAGACTGGATAATTCTTCAAATCTTCCAATTAACGGATTCTTTTCACGGTCAGTTCTATTCTACTGTTTAACTTATCCATTGAGCTTTTTATTTAAGTTATTGAATTTTTCAATTCTAAAAATTTTATCTAGTTCTAGTAAATTTTCTAGTTCCTTTCTTGTGTTCTATTTTTCTTTTATCTAAGTGTGTTCATAACTGTGTTTATAAATGCTGCCTTAAAATCTTTGTCAGGTAATTTTAAGCTCTTTATCATCTTGATGTTGATATATATTGATTGCCTTTTTCCAATTAGTTTTGAGATCTTTTTGGTTCTTGGTGTGATGAATGATTTTTAATTGAAACCTAGACATTTTTATATCATATTCTGTGATTTGAATCTCATTTAAACCTCCAGTTTCACCTTTCTCTGACACTGCTCTGGAAGGGGAAGGAGGGTACCATCTTGCTACTTCCAGGTAGAGGTAGAAATCCAGATTCCCCACTAGGTCTTCTGTTGACAATTGATGGGCAAACATCTTTTATTTCTGGGGGGGGGGGTGTGGTGGTTTCAGTTCCTTGTAAGGTCTTTGCTGGCACTGTGGTGGGGGTTGTTTCATTACTGCTGGATGATGGTGAAACTACTGACTTTCTGCTAGGCTTCCTTTGATACCATTCCAATGGGGAAAGGGCAGTATGCTTCATTACTTACAGGTGGAGATGGATGTCCAGGCTCCTCCTTATATGTTCTCTTCTAATGATATTAGGGGACCTCATTATTGCCTGGCAGGGCTAAAAGTCTTTACTCTTGGCTTGGTCTTCACTGACATCACTCTAGTGTTGGGGGCCTCATTTCTGCCTGAAGAGAGTGGAAATCCAGCTTCCCTACTTAGCTTTTGCTGGCATGGTTGAGGATGGGGTCACAGTTTTTTCTGTGATCTTTGACTGCAACAGAAAGATTGTTATCTGAAAGTTTCTTTCTAGGCTGCCCTTTCCCTTGTTCTTTGGTTAGAGAGAGCAGATTTAGAGTTTTTTTGACTGCATTCAATAGGTTTTCCAGGTTGTGGGCTTCTTCACTTCCAAGTCTAGAATATGATGCAAAATGAAAACACAGGGAATTCACCACCATACTCTTCCTTGGGGTCTGATTTTCTTTCCTTTCTCTATCTTTCAGATTCTTCTTATGTTTGTTTTATGTATAATGTCTAGTTGTATTTAGTGGGAGGAATAGAAAAGGTACATCTATTCCATCTTTCTGTATATAGAGGTCACCTTAATCATGTTTCCAATGTGCCCTTTTGGCTTTTCTCTCTGCAGGTACCTGGAACTGGAAAGCAGTGGTCATCGGAATGAAATCAGATTGCATTACCGCTCAGGCAGTCACCGCCCTCACACAGAAGTGTTTCCTTACATTTTGGCTGATGACAAGTGGCACAAACTCTCCTTAGCCATCAGTGCCTCCCATTTGATTTTACACATCGACTGCAATAAGTGAGTGAAATATTCTCATTTCAGGAAACAGTAGACTCTAAGAAATGACTATCTACTCATGTTCCTTCTTTGATATTTCTTTTTTTGCAGAATTTATGAAAGGGTGGTGGAAAAACCCTCCACAGATTTGCCTGTAGGAACAACACTTTGGCTAGGACAGAGAAATAATGCACATGGATATTTTAAGGTATATTTTGGTTAAAGTCTGAGAATAAACTGTAAATGTAAATGCTTTTTAGTGAGTCTGGAAAAGTAAATTTTGCTTCTTATGGTGTGGAACAAAACAGTTTGATTTGCAGTTTTTATTTGTGTCTATTTCTGTTTTTTTCTTACACTAATATTTTATTTAGCCAGCAAACATTACTTTCTCTTCTTATTTCAATGAGTTTGATCTTTAGGCATTACAGAGATGATCACAAGGCTGCAATCAGGGCAATTAATGTGTCATTCTTGAAGTTCATTTTCAAAGTAATAAAAATGTAAAATGTTAACATACAAATAAACTCTCCACCACTGAAATATAACCTTTGGTGATGTTTTTACAGGAATGTTAATAGCATATTGGAAGTTTTTGGTATTTATTATTCATGGTCTCCTTGTACTCCAGAAAGTGAGAAAGGAATACTTATATGTGTATAAATCTGTCAAAATAAAAAGCAGTCATAATTTATATATTTTCCTTTAGTGTACACTTAGGGGCAACACTCCATAGAATTTCATCATTGGAGAGGATCTAAAAGACAACCTATTTAACTTTCCATATTTTAAAGACGAAGAAATAAAGTCCAGACAATTACTTGTCGCAAGTTTGTAGTGTAATTATTTTCCCCAGTGACTATGACAGTGCCTGCAATGCAGATGTGGCTCAACGAATGATTCTTATATCAAGGAATGATAGGTGATAAGTTCAACTTGTGGATTTCAAGGTACAGCAGGTACTAGTAAATTTGTTTTCCAAGCAAAGTTTGTAATCCTAGAAAGATGTTTTAAAATGATTTAAACATGCTCTGTTACTTGGAAACCAGATGCTTGAAATGTATTATTCCATGTAACCTTAGCCTTGTTAAGGGTCCCTTTAAATATATTATTTCATAGAATTCTAGCATTGGTGCAAGATATTTTTTCCTCTTTCACATATGCATAAGCTACTCAGAGAGGTTAAGTAACTTGCTCAGAGCCAGTCTGCCTAGTATGTGACACAAATGGAGAATTGATTCCATGCTTGCAAATCCTAAAAATCAGTAGCTGTTTTCACGCAAAGGATGGCAGATGTGTGCTGTGTCATGCATCTTCTCTATTTAATCATGGCAATCTTTCCCGTGGAGCCTGAATGTGGTCTCAGAATCCTCACACATCAATTATGTGTACCATTCTAGGGATTGTTATCTTTATTGTAGTCTATGAATGGAATCCACTAGAGTTGCACAGTGCACAAAGTATATAATTGTACCTGGTGGATTTGTTTTCATGTTGCTGCTTCTAAGTGATAGGAATTTGTACACATCTTTTCTTATCAATCCAGGCCCAGGCAAATAACAGATCCAGTAATTGTCATATAAAATATTAAAATATTTATCATTCACAATGATTTTTGCTGTTAATCAAATTAGACATGTAGAAGATATACAGACCAGTATTTGACTGGTAAGTCTTTATAAGTATGTTCAAAATTGTTTTGATATCATGTTGGTACTGTTAACCCTGTCATTAGACATTTTGTTTGTATTTGTCAAAGGGAGAAGGTGAAATATGAGTAAAGAAAATTATATAAATTCATGAAGGGAGTGGGGGGAAGTGGCAGATAAAAGGGACAGCTGAATGTGTCTGATGAAATCATTTCTGAGCTACCACTGACCTTTGCTTTAAGAGCCCAGCAAGTTGGAAGCTGATTATACCTTAATGACTAAGGATGCATGTAAATTTTGCCTATAAACATACGATCAAGGCTTTTATGTAAAACGGACCATTTCCAGCTGGCGTTAATAAACATTTCATACTAAACTTTCTGTACTCATAAGGATTCATCACTGAAGTCTTACTGCAGCTGTTTAACAAATCTATTGTCCTTTTTGAATTGAGAAATTGGTTTTAAAAGACCTAACTGATAAATGAGAAATGCTCAAATGAGCATGCTTTCATGACTCAGTTTTTCTATCCTTTTCAATGATTACAGTTAATTTAAAATTGGTATTAGTTTCGGTGTTGCTGAAACCAGATGTGATTTTCAGGTTGATTTTTAAAGGTCATTTTTGAGCCCTATTTCAGTGGCTAACTAAAAAATACCTTCTCAAAACAACACTACTGTTGGCTCTTAATTATATCTTGACATTTAATCTTAAGACTTTAAAAAATATTATCAATAAGAGAGTACATGGGTAATCATCTATTATGTCTGATGGATTTCTTTCCCTTTGGTATGAAGTGAAAGTAATGCATTAAAAAAGGCTCTTCACTCAGGGATTTTGGTGAATCCATTCTGTAATGTTTTCCTTCATGAACTTGAGTATTGAGCATAATTTGGGTAAATGAAAGTAATATGTCTTTTTCTTTTATTTTTCACACACAGGGCATAATGCAAGATGTGCAATTACTTGTCATGCCCCAAGGATTTATTGCTCAGTGCCCAGATCTTAATCGCAGTAAGTCTATTAGATCTTGCACTGTGGAGTTTTTGTATATTAGTTGTCGGCATAGATTTAACCAGATTGAACCCTTATAAATACAACTTGACCAATGTAGTGTTTGTAATTCCAGCCTGCCCAACTTGCAATGACTTCCATGGACTTGTGCAGAAAATCATGGAGCTGCAGGATATTCTAGCCAAAACATCAGCCAAGGTAAAATTTACTCAGAAATACAGTGAGGAAGCTCAAAAATCCTTGATGCTCCCTATAGTTCCTTTTATAGTCATATATTTTCACCTTTGTATCTTATACTGTTTGCTAGAACTGAATCTAATCCCTCCTTAAGGAAAGGACTTATAAATATTAAAACCCTAGCCATCTGTACAAGGAATTATTCAATAAATCAGGAATGAGGCAGATTACCTTGTTTATACACTGCTTACCACAGCAAGATATATTGTTTAGTTTTAATAATAATTTTTTTTTAGTTCTTCTTTACATGCAAGGAGGCGGGAGGACAATGTAATTAATACGAACACTAAAAGTGAGTCAAGGAAACAGCCACACAAATGCCTTCTACTAGTATGTTGCTATTGTAGGATTATTTACAAATGTCTTAAGCACATTTCTGGTTTATCTACAATTTCATCACATATATGATTTTGCATAGTAGTTATGGATTACATGATGGATGTGTTGTATGGTATATGATTTGTTTCTTATATAATGCAAATTCTGATTTTTATTTTTTCAGGTGAGTAAACATATTAATGAAATTAAACATTTTTAAAAATGGAAAATGCTTCTCAGCATTGTGAGTGATGCTATTTTGAATTAGCCTTCTAATTGTGTCTTATACATTATTGTTATTTTTTTGTTTCTTAGGCAGGGAGCAAATTTACCACAGAAAGAAGAGAGGGAAAAAACTAGTTTCTTAAAAAAAAATTAAATGCTTAAATCTGTTTATGACAAGAGGTTGATGGGCACAGCCATCATTACTGCTACAGACAAACAAAAATTAGATGTCTGCTGGAGTGGTTTGCATGTCTGTGTTGCTGGAATGGTGAACAATGTAAATCCCTTCCTTTGTGCCACAGCTGTCTCGGGCTGAACAGCGAATGAATAGATTGGATCAATGCTATTGTGAAAGGACGTGCACCATGAAGGGAACCACCTACCGAGAATTTGAGTCCTGGACAGACGGCTGTAAGAACTGCACATGCCTGGTACGGCTTCCATTTGAGTTCAGACTAAGGGAACTCAGATGCCCCTGCTCTTTAAAAATTTATTAAAACAATGTAATCATGAAAATTTCAAGACCCATTTCCTCAAGACACAACACTAAAGTGCTAGCAAACCTGGTCACATCTGAAGAGCTGTGTTGCATTATTAAAAACACTTTCTAGCTTATAAAGATGATTATGGTTTAGCAATGCTATAAAGTTTAAGTTTATTGTTACACACATGAAGTTTGCAACTAAAATTAGGTTAGTAAGGTGACTCCCAAAGAATTCTATCCTGATATCCTTAATATTTCCAGAGATTTATTTCCCTCGTGTTTTTATTAATGCATTTTAATGAAGCTAAATTATATAAAGCATTAAATATTGTGTCAAGATTGAGCAAATAAATAAATAATTGAGTTTAAGTAAATGAGACAATCTTTAATAGTTTACTACCACAGTGGAATATAATTTATAGTTTAAATAAATACATTTTTTCTAATTGTTCACAAATAAAGTAATATTAATTTACTAATAAAGTAATAAATAATACTTTGGTGTATTATTATTTTAAGAATATATGTTCATTTTCAAAGAAAATTTAAAACAAGTTTAGTTTTGAACGTTTAAATTCCATATGAAATCATCTGTTAGAGCTGGTTTTCTGGAAAGAAGTCAGAGATCTATGTGAATTAGCCTTTTAAAAAAATTTCCCAAATTTATCCAGTTTATTCAAAAGTAGACTATCATGTACATAAAAAGATAAAACGTGTTCAGAAATAACTCTGTGTGTGTGTATGTGTGTGTGTGTATGTGTGTGTGTGCGTGTGTGTGTGTGTGTGTGTGTTACGATTTTTATTCAGGAACATAACATGTTTCTACCAAAATTATGGCACTTTACAAATACAGTAAAGTCCTTCGAAACGTATTAAATGGGGGGCCAAAAATTGAATTGAGTAAAAAATAGAATGTGGTATAGTGAGATCAATAAAATGACTATGAAAGCCTGAGCTGCTAGCCACCTGGGAGCAATAAACGACCCTTGGTCATCAAACTCGTGGTGGTCCTGTCTCCAGTTTGGCGCCTCCTTGTGGTGATTTTAAGCATCGCCTTCCCTCCTGTGATGGCCTGCTGGAGCTTAAATATCCATGGGAGATTCTGAGCCTTGAGACTGGGACTTTCAGGATGGCAGCTGCTACTCAGAAATCTGGCTTATTGATGCTCATTTTGTGAAAAACCTGGGGATGATTGGGTTCCAGGCTTTTCCTCAGCCGGCTATTTCCCTGTCAAATTGTACCCTTCACTCCACCTATATCCTTCCCCATGTCTCAGCAGAAGAGGAATACTCAAGCTTAGTTAGGATCAGTTGCTGGATGGAGTTGGGAGCTAACCACCGACAATGTTATAACCCAACTTTATTACCATGGGTCTCTGTATGATGGCTTTTACATGACATTTTATATGACAAGTTTAAAATTTAAGGAATGGATTAAAAAATCCTTGAAGACTACTAAACTCCAACTTGGAAATTCTTTAAATATTGTTTTCTTTTCAGAACGGAACCATCCAGTGTGAAATTCTGATCTGCCCAGTTCCTGACTGCCCACTTAAGTCGGCTCTTGCGTACGTGGACGGCAAGTGCTGTAAGGAATGCAAATGTGAGTTTAACTTTTATGATGAATACTTTCTTTGGCAAAAATAAGCTTTGTATTAATAAATATTCACTCATCATTGGTTTATTCTGGGTAAGCTAAACAGCTTTCAGAAATAATGGAAATAGGAGGAATTCTTTCTTGGTTTTGGTTGTTTACTTTTGTTCCATTTTAAAATGCTTTTCCTCTATTCTAAGCAGGACTGGTTTTTTTTTTTTTTGGAGGAATCTATTCTGTATAGTGACAGTGGTAGGAAAGATGTGTAAGAAATTTACTAGACGGCATTTCTCTCACTGTACTATTTAATATATGCCCTTCCCAGATAGGTCAAGAGTTGTCCCCACAGCCACACTGATCAAGGAAACCCATGAAATAAGTGGTCTTCAACTGGAGATGATAGGCTGCTCTGTGAGCCCATGCAGCAGAAGTCTACATTATTAAAGGATCATCCAGTGTAGATAGGGGCCACGGCCTTAATTTAGCAAAAAGTCTCACACCACTGTGCAAGGAAGCTTTTCTGCTTTTTGACAGCCATTATACAACAGTTCACTTCTGATGTCAGAAAATACTCTTTGAATCATCTGTAGCTATCCTCAAATGGGTTCTAGATCATTCATTAAGGAACAGAAATCATCTCACCTGTGTTACTTATACTTTTAAAGACTTCACTTAGATCCTTGTTAAAAGGAACATTTAAAATATTAAGCTGTTTTTGCACAAGGGGTAGTAACATACATGAACACTGAGTTGTTACAAAGTTTATGGAGTATATAGCTGTGTAAGCAAAGTGTGTTCATATGTGACTAAAGAAGTCAGAGGGGAGGTGAGGCAGGGAGAGAGAGAGAGAAAGAGAAAGACAAGAGGGAGAGGGAGGGAGAGAGCAGGCAGAGTTGGGGGTGGGGAGTGAGAATGGGGAGAGGAATTATTTATTTATGTATTTATTTTTAATATCAATATTTTTTATTATGATGTTGTGGGGTACAGTTAAGGGTTAGGTATACAATTACATTTCATTTAGGCACCTTGTTGATAAGGGGTGTTTCCTCAACCTCAGACAGATATTTGCTACTGTTAATCCCATCTCCCTCCCCGCCCCATAGTTTCCCAGTACCGTCAGTCATTTTCTTATAATATTACATTGGATGTTCAAGG